GAACATACCGACCAGGCGGGAAAACGACAGATGTTATATATATTGAAAGAAATGTAAATAAACAATTAAATCAAAAGTAATGTACAAGGTTAAAATACGGATAGAAAATCGAGAAGACAAGAAAAAATGTATAATTTATAGAAAGGAATGTTGAATTTGGTATTCTTCAAGTCTACTTTGAACGGAATTCAATGGTTTTAGTTTTATTATGACTATTACATTCAAAATTAAAATGAGAACCCAAAAGAGTTTTTTTTTTTTTTTCCACTTATTTTTACTGTTCAAAATTGCAAGACTCTGAAATATTATATGTCAGCCATATCCCCTAATGCTGGTTGTGTTGAATTCTTTCTTGCTTCATTTATTTTGGAATGCCTGCGTGCAGTTTGTTCCTTTTTTATTCTTTTGTTTTGAATGTTATGCATTAAAGAAAATAATGTTTACAATTTCACATTAATTTCTGTTAATTCTCCATATATATACATGGACAGTATTTATTAGACAGTTCCAGTCAATTTCATTAAATCTAGTCTCTATTTGAACTTTTCATTTTGAATAATGTTAACTTTATATGTCTGTCCCATTGGGCTCTCAACATTAAAAATTAAAATCTATTTACTGCGCTTCTTAATTTATTGTTTAAAAATCTAACCTATTCCTTTCGTCTAATATTTGTATTCACACGTTAATACGTTATCGTCAAAAGAAGGGGACAAAAAACTCTTATTCATATTCTGTTAATCTAATTAATATAAAAAAACACCGTTCAATTTATGAGACTTAATTCACATTTGAATAATAATTGTAAAATAAAATTAACATATTACAAACTCATTTATGAATTTTAAGTTAAAATTTTAATTAATTAATTTAACTAGTACTTTCTAAAATAAACTTAAACTCTGAACCAAAATTAACTAAAATACAAATGTTTTAATTCTTATTTTATTCTTTATAAATCCACATCGGTTATTACTTTATGGACATTGAACTAGAAACAAATTTCTAAAAAAAACTAACCATGGCTTGAACTGTAGGTACACTTATCATTATCTTTCATAAAAATAACAACAATATATAATAGTAAAATCATTATTTTGGTTTTACCTTAAAAATAATCCTCATTTTGGTATGTAGCTTTTAACTTTATCAGATTGACACTCTTTTATATAGGTATCTATAATCCTGTTGGAATACCCATCATATGTAATTCAAAATAGCATATATATCGGCACCTTAAGAGGGACATGACATGAAAGGTTCTTTTAATTCTTTTACTTTAAAAACATGTTTGAAAAAAGTACAAAACTGGAAAAACAGTTCAAAGATAATTAAATGCTACATAAGGAAGTTCTTCCCAACCTCCATCATTCTTTTTTTTTTTTCCTTTGTTCTTTATGTTTTTCCTCTTTAATTTCTGTTTAGGCTAAAAGAACAGAAATTAAATGACATTTTACACGCGTGTTGAAAAGCGGTTTTAAAGTGCTTGGATTATACTATTTTGGGAGAATGAGAGAAATAATGGCGGTTGTTGTCACATTGCTCTCTTGTGAGGTTGAAGCAGGTGTGGGCTGAACAATAGGCAATCGTATGGATCAATTAATTAGAAAACTCAACACGTGAATATTTAAGTCCGAAATATATTAAAAACCCTAAATATTATGAAAATTTTAAATGGGGATAAAAAGTGCAATTATGGAGGTTTAAACTCAAGGTCTCCCGCTCTAATACTATGTAAGTTTACTAATATATTTCAAAAACTTAAGCTATTAGGAGGCGGGCTAACAATAATTTTATACTTACTAGTGTCACAAAGCCTCGCCAATGACAAACGAGAGAGATCAAAAAAGGGAAGGGAACAACGAAAGGGGTAAAATTGGGAAAACAAATATTAAGAACTTTTAACAAAATATTTACAAATGTTATTTATATGTTAAGTAAAATTTGTATTTACTTCCATTAAGCTTTAAAAATTGATATTTCACGCAATTACCGTATTTCTTTTAAATTAGAGGGGCACTACAATGAGAATCACAATAAATGCAGAGATACGAATGTGCTAGAGCGATACCCGAATGATAATTTCTTGATAAAATAAGTAGATTTAGGCCTTGTTCATTTCACTAATTTGAATTTTTAATTCCAGTTTTGTTACAATTAAAAGCTCTCATAAAAAGTCACATATAACCTTTTCTGTTACAGTTAAAAACTCTCACTTAAAGTCATTTCTCAACTCAAATTGAAAACTCGACTCAACGAACTGAACAAGACCTAATTTTCAACTGCTTTTTCACATGTATAGTTCACACTTCACTAGTTGATCCTACAATTTCTTGATTTTCTTGAATTACTTAATTACTTGAATGTCAATCAAAATGATTCTAGAATTTTCTCTCGAGTTACTTAATTACTTGAATGTCAAGAAATAAAAACATATATAATCACGTGTAAAAGGACAAGCATATTTGAACCCTCTAGCGCATCATTAATTATATTCTTAAATTTTCCTAGGATGATATTTGAGACAAAAACATAACCGAGTCAAACCACGTGTTTGGTTTTGTCGGGTCTGCTTTTGTTTTTGCTTTTTATTTCTTTTTTCTTTTTATAGAGTGGGGGAGGGGAGCCAAGTCAAGATCAATCCATATCTTACTTTTTAGTTGTTGAAAGACGGGTATAATTCTGTTTTTGTCGAAAGCTAAAACTGTTAACTCACTAAAATTTCATCTTTCGGCATGACTAGCTTACTTTGTTGTATAATATATATTATTTGACAGCTCTAATACAAACAAAACCAAAATATAATAAAAATTTTCATGTAATTTTTTTTTAGTTTTCATCAATAATATTGGAGTGGAACTAATTGGTAGTGGATAGAGTTTATAGGGGATGCCAATTATCTGATTTGATTAATGTTCGAATTTCTGTCAATTGCTCTTCACGTTATAATAATATTATAATGTGGGCTTTTTGGAAAATTATACCCTGCATTTTGAGGTTATAAAAGGGTCATATGATATTGTATTTTGGATTAATTTATTATATTTGGGTGTGATTTTAATAGTTCTTCTAATATTTATACATCAATGAGTATTATTGTTTTAGCTAAAAAATATTAATTCAACGGTTGTAATAAGTTGAATAGTTGACAAAAAAATTAATGATAATTAATGAAATTAGATTTTTTATCACATCACGTCATTAAATTTTTATATTTAAAAGTGACCACCAATATAAATATAATCATCGAAAACTCGTCCATCATATTTATACTTTCAAATTTCGAAATTATATTAGTTTATACATTTTTCTTAGTCAATGGTAAAGTTTGATCGCATAAATAAAACGTATGAGTTTTTTTATAACCTCAAAATATAGGGTATAAAAATGAGAAAAAAAAAACTCTAAATATTAGAAAAAAAAATCTAATAATAATTTCAGTTTTCACTTGCTCTCGTCATTTATTTCCATTGCAAAGTACACCAAATTGTTACAACTACAAGTATAATCCACTGACATAGGAAGATAAATGTAAGAATATGGATTATATGAGTTACACAGGATCTAGAGTAAGTAAGGGTAAAAAAAAAAAAAAAAAAAAAGGTTTACGACAATGTGATTAAGGACTTTTTGGGGAGAAAAAAAAAAGCGTGCTTCTAATTTTGAGAGTCTCCATATTTTTCTGAAGGAAGAAAATCACCATCTTTTGCTACTCTGTAGAATATATAATGGATTGTTCTATTCCCTAAATTTTTATACTTATCCTATATATTCTTTTTCTTCAACGTATCTATATATATTAAAAGTTGTTGATATACATTGAAAGAAAAGGCTTTATATTGATTAATTAATACTCGATGAATCAATTATTTGAACAAGAATAGACATCATGCACGCATATATTAAAATTTTGCTCTTCATGACTTTGTATCATTTTGATTAAGAAAATTAAAAATAATTAATTTAACCAGAAATTATACAGAATCTCTCTATTTTCCAGAAAAAAAAAAGTAGTTACGTAATTGACAAATTTGAATTGAATGTTTTTATTAGTGAAACAGTGAAGAAAACACCCTCTCATAAAAACAAAATATCTCCGTTGGAGTTGGATGTAAAGCGCAAAATTAGAATTTTTTATATATAACGAATGTCGACATTTTAAAAGTTAGACTCCAAAATCCTTATATAATATAAGTGATAAGACATGATTTTGGATTTATTTTAAATATTTAAAAAAATTGATGGCTTTAAATGAAACTTTTGTAGGTGTCACAATCTAATTAATATGTGAACATTTGTGGCCGCAATTAAAATCTCCCTCGCCCATTTTTTGATAATTTAATACGAAATCTGGGGTCTAGATAATTCCGTCAATTGGCCACTCTTTCGTTAGCTTTCATGATGGAAACATAGGACTTTTGTGTTGGAAAACGAAGAAATCTTAACAGTAATAATATGGCTTCGTTTAATTTTTTGAATTAATATGGTATATAATAAAACGTCCGTGCATGGTAACAAACAAGTATATTTTCCCATTGATGATAAAACCATGCAAAATAGGATACAGTATAATATAAAACTAATATTATGACCCGTGACCGTTTCAGCAAAAAAGACCCGTTTTCCCTGATTTAATATTTGGAACTTAGAACTAAACGTGTTTGAAGGTTTTGTGTACCGTTTCATGCTAGAGATTCAGAGGATTCAAGGCACTTACTTAGGCATTTTCTCGGGTCATACCGACCAACCAGAAAATCGTACGATTATGAAATTCAAAAATATTCCCCAAAGCCCAAAACCCAACAATAATCCTCTCCCTCTACTCTATCGAATCCTATATATAGCCAATATCCTTAAACAATAGCTTCTCAATCACACCTCTTATAGATTTACATCACTAAAAACAAAAATACAGAAACGTCCTTTTTTTTTTATACAAAATAAAAAAAAATTATAACAATTATCATTAATTACTAGCTAGCTATCACCTCATAGAAGCCATGAAACATGCCATTCCTGCCCTAGCAAAGAACTTTGCTGTTTCCACTTATAAAGTCCTTCGCCCCCAAACCCAAACCAAATCCATGAACATTTGCACACGTCCGTGTGACGTATTCATTAATCACCGGGGAATCGACACGAAAAGGACCGTCGCCGGATTGCTCTACTACCACCTCTCCAGGCTTGGGCTGAGGCCATTTCTAGACAGCAAGAACATGAAGCCCGGCGACAACTTGTACAACAAGATCGACACCGCGATCCACAGTTGCAAGATCGGTGTCGCGGTGTTTTCGCCCCGTTACTGCGAGTCCAAGTTCTGCCTCCATGAGCTGGCTCTTCTAATGGAGACTAGAAAGAGAGTGATACCGATCTTCTGCGACGTAAAGCCGTCGGAGCTTAGAGTTACGAACCTCGTCAATGGAAGTTGTTCGGCTTTGGAGCTCCAGAGGTACGAGGCTGCCCTTCAAGAAGCGAAATTTACGGTCGGACTTACATTTGACTGCGCTAATGGGTATGTGAAATGCTTTCGATCCGTTGCTTGTAAGAAATTAAATGTTTTTTCTTCTTTGAATTGAGTTTCTCTTCGTAATAGTAAGATAATTATTGTGTTTGCGTGTTTTTAGGGACTGGTCAGAGTTCTTGCAAACGGCTTCCGATGCTGTCTTGGAAAATTTGATCGAGGTAGAAGGGGAAAAAGTACTGGACGAGATCGATAATAATCAGATCTATTTGCCAAATGATTCAAAGAAGTTGTGAAAAGTATATATGAAGTTGACATTTATGCGAACTACGTTTGCAGCTCTTCCCATCAATTAGAACCGAAAGGGATGAAGTGATTTAATATTAATTCTTTTATTCATTAAATAACTCATTTATTTTACTGTATAGGGCTAAATCAATACATAAATTATACTGCTAACCCATGTAGGGCCAAATGTAATAATCTCTCCATGTTGTAGCATTCATGTTTATTCAAATTGTATTCTTTTTTTATTTGAAGAAAAGTGTATATCAATGCAATAGATTTAAAAAAAAAGTTTAATTTCAATAAATTGGAAAATTGTCATTAGTAGCAAATCATCATATATGTGTATAGATATTGTTCTTTGCGTACGTAAATGTTCCATCTATATATTATCTTATATTACTATGTGAAAGTATCAAAAATTAGGCATCTTTTATGACACTCAAGATTAGATAGCTGATCTAATCAATCCATCTAGAGATATAGTACTGCAACTCAAAAAGGGAAAGATACTTTTTGCATCCACAAGATTAAGGCAACAAATCATTAATTGTAAGGAATTAATATACTCTTAAATGGATTAATATGAATACAATATATATTGCATCGCAATAGACAATGGGAGTTATTTGAAGGTAGGGTTAATTGTTATGGATGTCTTTTTTTAATTAAAAATAGAGATTATTAGTGTCATCAGGTCTCCCATCATTTTTCATCACTTTAAAAATTCCGGGGCCCACTAATGAAACGGAAAGTGCCTAAACAAATTATATTCGAAAGACGGGTCTAGTTTTCACTCATATTACCACACATCCAACACCGCACAACACATTAGTCGGACATGGGGTACTAAAGTAACACTGTAGAATATCGAACTCTTTGCGTATTTAGAAAAGAGAAGAAAGATATTTTTACCGCTGCACCAACCTATTAGTGGTTAATTATTTTTGAATGTTCTATAGGTGGGAAACTGCTCTCTAACTTCCAAGCAGATTTTAAGCAGGTTTCCTTCGTCTTAATTATGTATATTTGCCAACTGCAGAGACGGCGTGTCGCAATCTGGAAAAGTAGTTAGTTCACAAACAATATTCGTACGTACGTCTCTAGTATGAGCATTCTGTTGAGCAAGAAAATAAAGTCAGTTATTTGGAATTGAAACTTGGAAGGAGTCAAATACCAAAAGAAACAAAAATGAAAGGTCAAATTCAAGTGCTTTCTTTAGTAAAGCCAAAGGCAAAATTAGTAAATTGAGAATTTGAAGCGTGTTATGAGAATTTGAAGCGTGTTATGAATATTCAAACTTAACTATTAGATGTCTCGTGTTTATTTTTATGTATTTCTATTATATATATATATATATATATATATTCTGGACTATATAATGTGTATGTGTTTATATATGTGGACTGAAATGCGACTCAATTAAATAAATCCCACATAAACACGCTCACAATGTTAATATTGTTTGAATATTGTTAACATGTTATATGTCTCTATAACAGACAAAATATCGAGTGATTAGAACTAAACGTGAACCAAACGTCGACTCAACGATTCATTGGTGCTACCTTTATAGATGTACTATGTGATCGGCTACTCTCTTTCATAAAAACTAAAATATTTTATAGAATGCCAAGGAGAACAATAGAGAAATACAACGTCGTACATTTTTATTATTTTTTTTTAATTTTTTAATTTTGTTTAATGTCTGGATTCAAACCCGGACCCACCTAAAGAACAAAGACAGACTACCTCGTCCTCCTTTGACGACGACGGTGCAAACTCCACCCCTAGTGGTGCTGCGAATGTACAATCTCCCCATGCCCCGCGACCCCTTTTTTTATAGGATTTTGATTGAAAGATTGTGTTAAAAAGTTGAATTATGGAGGTTACAGATTATTTCTTCTTGTTATTATCGGTTTTGAGTGATGGAAGTTTGAACAGAAAATTCACTACAATGACGTGATCCCACCATGCCGGAGCGATCCCGACGTGATCTTCTCCGATCTCATTATCCATCTCTATTACAGTAAATATTAATTCTCGGGCAAAAAAATCCAACAAAATTTTGGGTTGCTATTAGAATTGTACTCCCCCGTCTGCTCATAATTGTCAATGGCGTCGAACGTGGTGTCCGGCATGCTTTTATTCGTGCTCAGATACCACATTCCGATAAACATTGAATTTGGGAAAAAAAAAAAAAAAAAAGAGAGGGAGAGAAGATGGCCCAGAAAAAGCAGGAAAGATATTAAGGAGAGAGAAAAAATATTATGTGTGTGCAAGTATACGATTAGATGATAGAGCTGCCGAAAATGCACCAATAAATGTTAAAAGTTTTTCTAAAAAAGAGTCACACTAGAGAAATTCCTTTTTTTATAATAGTTCAACGGTTGCTAATTAGTTAATTGGGCGTGGTTTTTTCAACATTGGTTTTACGCAATTGATGAACCTAAGGAATTTTAATCGAAGTTTTAGAGATACAATGGTTTAATATATATTATCGTCACGTATGATATTGAAGAAAAAATGAAAACGAATGGTATTATACTGCAAAGAATTATAGGAAAACCCACATTTACATGAAAGAGCTATTATTTGCAAAGTATTATACGCGGTATTCAATTTGACTGTTTACACAACATTTTATTAGTATATCTCAGATTCAGAAACAAATACACAGAAAAAAAAAAAAAAAAAAAAAAAAAAAAAATTTTCAAGTACATATTCCAACCTTTCAGCACTATGGAGTTGGACCCATATTGCCTTGTAACACTTGATTCTAAATAGGGTGTGTGGAAAAGCCTTTGAAAAAAGGCAAGAAAAAGCTGTGAAAAGCAAAATTAAAGATTAGAACAACACCTATTTAAATTTCATATGTAAGATATATATCCTGGTCTTTTCACTTCAATTTCCTGTTTGACATTGTAATTGTTTAGCTGGTTTGATGTTTTCCTGGAAAAAGAAAGAAGGAATCATGCGCAGATCTCTTAGTAAGCTAGATATATGCTAGTAATATATATATATATATATATATATATAATAAAAGAAGTTATGTGTAATTTTCCCACGTTATGTGTAATTTTCCCACCGCTACTACTATAGTTGTAAATATACATATATATATAGTACTACATGCGTACAAGCAAAATAAACCGCCAGTGTCGCCTATCAGCAGCCTTCTACGAAAATTTTGCAAAACAATATACAGTTGATGATAATAAATCGACTTTCTGGAAATTAACTGCATTTTCTTCTAAATGTCACCGACCCACAAACATTTGGAAAATTCTGAATAATTCACCTTGGATACCTGATTGTCTGTTTTTGTTGATTTTGTCATGCGCGTGATGATAATAAATCGACTTTCTGGAAATTAACTGCATTTTCTTCTAAATGTCACCGACCCACAAACATTTGGAAAATTCTGAATAATTCACCTTGGATACCTGATTGTCTGTTTTTGTTGATTTTGTCATGCGCGTTATATATATATATA